ACTTCAAGTCCAATATCAAACGGCGTATTAGTTGCAATATGAATTTACAACTAGGCATTGATGTACAAACTTCCAGATACCACCATTTATATTGTGCGTCTGGATTGTGAACGTTGGCAGTTGTCTAGTGACTTGCTCTATTTTTACTATAATTTTTAATTTGCTTGCTTTTTTAAATTCATTCACATAGTATGTAGTCTTGCGCGTTTCGATATTTGTTGTTCATTTCTTTCACGAAATTTTACTTTAGTTAATTTAAAAAGTTTGTTCTTTGTGCCAGAACACACCGTGCTACCTCCGAGTTCCTATGCGAAATCTCTCATAAGTTGAACCCCACACTCTTCCTTATCCTTCTATTTATATTCTAAGAGGGAAAGTTCTTAACGAAACATATTTATTTGATTGTAAGTGTATAAAGTTAACTCCAAAAGTACTAACATAATATCAAAAATTAAAAAATTCAATCAATGTTTAAATTAATTTTCAGTAAATATTTATTCAGTATTATCAAGAGTTTTCTTTGAGCAATTCACACTTCCGACTTGAAAATTTCACCAAATCACTGCTGTTAACGAAAAAGCTGATACAGGTAAAACACAAACCAAATCTGACAAGACACGTCTTCATTCTTCAGTGTACACCTACTGTTCATACTTCAGTGTACCACAATTGGGTACACAGCACTAGTAGACCTCGACCAAAAGTCAAATGAAAGTTTTCACTACAAACATAAGAAACAATCTTCGAGAGTCAAGAAACTATTAGTAATTCTAGTTGTTGCAAGAGCGAATCTCGAATCAATAATTATGGAAATTAACCTCACCAGTCTGCGCAAACCATGGTATACACAGAAAGCATAAATAGTATAAGATAGAAGAATCTGTGTCGTCACAAAGATGGCCACCAGACACAACCTCTAGCCACCATCACGAAGGGTTGATATATACTCTCTGATTGAAACAAAGGTGGCATTGATAGTATCGATTAGTGTCAAACCAACCAAACTTTAAGAGAAAATCCAAGAATATCTCATCCTATAGATTACGGCGTGAAAACATTTCTTTGAGGCCTTTGAGCTGAAAACTTTAGTTTTCAAGGTCCTAGATCGCTTCGTTTAGAAGCTATTTCACGATGTATCAACGAATACTGCCGGTTGAATTAGACGTGAATATTTGGAACAAATCACTTTTTTAAACAAATCCGTCATAGTTTTAGAGTCAAAGTGCAATTTACGACGTCTTCGTGAAATTCTCTTTCTTTAGAGTTCTCATTTATAAAGATCGGTTGCGTGTGAGAAACACAAAAGATATGTATACTGAAATAATATATGAGACGATATTCCTACTCGGACTACACTTAATTCACAGAGGCCAATCAATCAAATAATAACAAAACCACAAGTACATATGAAAATGCAACAAAAGAGTTATGAGATTTATGATAATTTTTTTTCCATTACAATAAATGCCAATACTGAGACAATAAATACGAGTAATGGGTGTGAGTAGATTGTGTAATTAAAGTAAAATAAAATTATTCGTAGGCTACTAGAATCCTGGGACGCGGTTGTCTTCATCTCCCGGGTTCTCTGTCGTAATCAGTTTTTGAACAACCTTTTACTGCCTTTGGAAACTTCATTTCTGAATCCTGTATTCTGCTCATTTCTCTTTGTTTCGAAATTCAGCATTCGCTACCGTACAGAAAGGTTGGTATTGCAATTGTTTTATGGAGTTTTAGACGTGTTTCTTTTCGGGTTTTCTTACCAAGGGTTTTTTTATGGTTCCACACATTTGCTGAAACTGCGAGTGTTACTTCTGGATGTCTCTGTCTAGTTGAACGATATATCGTTTCCTAGGTAATTAAAATTGCTTACGTCTTTCAAACCTAGTAGTCTACCACTATCTTAGAACTCAGAGGTTCCGTCTCGCACGCAACTGCAATCATCGCACACTATCGGCATAAGAAGTTTAAAGAAAAAAATGATGTAGTTGTTGGGAAAATACTATTTTTAATATTGTTTATATTTCAGTAAAATTGCACAAAAGCTACAAATATTTTCAGAAAATATACTTGACAGCTGCTAAAGAACATTGTGGAGAACATATTTCAAAATATATTTATCTTCAGATAAGTTCTTTTTGTCGAAAATTCAGGGGTAACAGTATAAAAAGGACCTACGCTATCTTCGTAACTGTATTTCACTCTATTTTTTTAAGAAAGTATAAATTTCGTGGAATTTTTACCAAAATTTGGTTAAATGTTCCATGGCATTCATGCATTGTAACTCCAAGATTTACACGATTCTATCCAAAATCCTAGGGCTTCAAGCCGGACCAAATAGGTCAGGAAATATTCATTTTGGAAAATATCCTACAAATGGTTTAGGTGCTAATGTTGTTCACAGACGAATTGTCAGACAACTGGAAGGACGTTTTGAAAATAATATTCTTCATTATTAAAAAATTACATTAATTTACAACACATTGAAGGGGAAAAACTCTTTTACAGTATTGGGGAGGCATAAAACGAGGTTTTGTCTCGAATATCGGCGATTTTCACCCCAGCATTACGAAACTTTCTACACATTACGTAATGATATGTTACTGATATGTAATGATAATTACATATAGCTAACGTAACGTGTATACGTACGTAATTAAGAAAGAACTATAAATCACAGTGAATTTTAATACCAAGTTAGTTCTGTATTAATAACTGCATTGAAAACGTTTTCCTTTCGTGTACTATTAATTTGTTGTTTCAAAATTAATCTGAAACGTCTTATTTCGCCCTATTTAATGATTATTGCAAAAGCTATTTGTATCGTCCGTAAAAACTTATTCTTCCATTTCAAATCGTCAAGGGCGTATTGTTTACAAATATAATGAAGAAAAAGGTCCTAAAATCGAATCCAGGATCATTGCAATGGACAGTAAATACAAAACATGAAAATATAATATCCCATGTTTTCAGTACGTATTTTTAATTTCCCGTATACGTACGCATATAGGGAGTAGTATACTAGAATAGAGGAAGTTATGTGATGTGGCAAATCGATTTCGAGATTTGGACGGAAATACGCATTATGGGGTTCCCTGATGCCGAAAAAATGTTTTTCCGAAACGTCCGCCCCTGTCAGTCTGTGAATACAACTAGCGCCTAAACCATATGTAGGTTTGTTTTCCAATATGGATATTGCCCTCTCGACCTGGATCCGATCGGCGCAACGAATTTAAAAAAACTTACTTAAAAATTTGGGGGTACTTTACATAAAGCCGTCCAGACATTTTCACATTTTTCTCAAAAACTGCTTATTTTTAAATTTCTTGTAAGAAAAGAGTAAAATACAATTATAAAGAAGATATAGGTCCAAGTTTTACAGTTAACTCTAAATTTTTGAAAACTGTTGAACAACTGTTTGAAAAAGTTTAAATTTTTCCAGTGTCTTCCTGCAACTACAAAATTAAAGATATAGATTTATTATTCTTATCAAATTCGTTGTCCATTGTGAGTTTTTTGATTATGGTCATGTACAGATTTTTGAAAATTTTAATAGTTTTCGTGCAATATTGGGTACAATATTTGCATTTTCAAACAAAATACAAAAACTAGATTTTCTCAAAAATGGCTCCAAATGTTTTTTTAAAACGTTTTGTGGGGATAGTTCTAAATGCACTATGTAAGATGACATAAATGCCATATTGCTCTACACTTTTGTTTTCCAAAAATTCCAGAAATTTTATTTACCTCTCACATCGTTAATTTTTATATAGTATAATTTTTATAAGTACTTTAATAGATTATAATATTTACGTATAATTTATATATACTTTAAATAATATCACATAAAGTTTCTCGAAAACTCTACCGTTTTGTGTGAAAACTAGTTTAAAATTCCGCATTTCAGACACGCTCTAACGCCATTTTCACAAAAATGTCTCCAAATTTCCCCTTCATACTTTTCAAAAGAATAGTATTTATTGCACTCGTTAATATGACAAAGTTCGTTTTTGGCTATTTTTTGTTTATTCGAAAATTACACAAATGTAATTTATTTGAAATCTTTCACGCCGTTAATGTGTACATTTTCTGCAATTTATAAATACTATTGTATATATGACTTGAAATGACTTCAAATTAAGTCTATCTAAATTTTGAATTTACAGTAGCGCCTAAGCGTCATTTTTTAGAAATAGCTGCAAATTGCAATTTAGGACGAGATTTTGCTGTTCTTTAATATTTATAAAATTATATTTACTTTATATTATTAGGAAACAGAAAAATTAAGAAAATTTCAAAAAATGTACTTCGAGTGGCGATAGATTGCAACATGCCAGAGTATGTGGTAAGTTCGTACTCGTATAACTAACCGAGACCAAAAGAAATATAAAACTTATACGAGAAAGTCAGTGCCATTTTGTAGCACAACTAGTTACTATCTGAAATCGATGTTTAAGATACGAACATACCCAATCTAGAGCAATTCCAAGAATTTCATGAGAAGGAAATTTTGAAAGGAAAATATCGCGACAATGATGTCCAAAGCATTTGAATCATTCAAAAAATTTCCAAAAGGTGCATTTTGATTCACGGATGAAGTGACGTTTTAATAAAATAAAATATGGTTATTACCGTAGACTTTAATTTTCTAAGATTAAGGAATATGTCATTGTGTGTGTGAGACAGATAGATAGCGTGGTAACAGATAGATATGAGTGGTGATGTTAGGCTCACATGGCTCTTCTCGGGCCGTGGACTTCCTCAAATTCCGATGTTGCACTGTTCATGACAGAGCGGCAAGCAATTACTCTTGTCAGTAACGTACTGTCTTGCATTGTCACATGAAATTACATTACCGTTGTACGATCGCGTGTGTTTATTTTAAAACCCTTTTTGTTGTATTGTGAAGGCGTTAAAGATCATCGCTTTAAATGTAACTAAACATAAGTAACGTTGAAAATACCACACTTTATTAAATATCGACACTCTTTTAATTTCAGACCTCCAATGACAAGATGATTCTGACGGTGATGCAGGGACTAGCACTATTGGTGCTCACCGTTCTGCTACCTTACTATCTGATGTTTATTTCTGGAAAGGCTCGACTTGTGTCGTCGCTTCCTGGGCCGACGCCTCTCCCCTTCATTGGGAATGCTCTAGAAATTGGGAGGAACGGCGTAGGTAAGTTCCATATGTTGCGCCCATGGAGCGAATCGGAATAATTTACGAATTAGCTGCTTAATGTTCACTTTATGCAACGAGGATGATATTGATTTCAGCCGGAAGAAAGAAAAGTTGTAAGAAAGAATATTTTCGATGCAACATTCGTTATTAAAATATGGATAAAAAATCAGAAGTGTGTCTGTGATTTTCAAATTTTCAGCTCTTAAATCATTTTTATACTTTTTTATTCGATTACTGAAAGCAATATCACGTCAAATCAATTGCTGTCATTTGTCTGTACGAACCGATTTAACTCAACATCTACTTCACCTATCCTTCAGAAATTTAAACACACTATAGATACTGCCAATGGGACCAACTTGTTTTTGCTCTCTTGATATCCCCAATGGTTTACAAACTATGATTTTTTGGTCGTTTCTCGCTCCGCACTGTTTTGCTCACGACTGTGCTCTGTTACAGAAAAGCAAGAGCATATGTGCCGAAAAACTTTAGAACATTTCGAGAGATTGCTCCCAATTTTGGCACGAACATTTTCAAGGAGTGAAGAATGAAAAATAGCACAGAGGCGATTCGAAAGTGTTTCCTCGAAATGTTTTTGAGAATTCAATTGAACGAAATCCCCAATTCATGTGTTGCTGGGCGTGGCCATAGGACGCGGAGCGGGGCCAAATAGGGTCGGGCGTAGAACACAATAAAAGAAAGGAGCGAGAGGCGAGGAAGAAGCAGTAGGCGAGGTAGATGTTTAAGGGCGGCGGTGAACAAATAGATCAATTATTGTACTAGGAATAAGTGCAAGGCGAACACAAACAAAAATTATAATTTTATATCAGTTTACAAGACTGAAATTGTAATTGTTTTCGCAAAAGCCCTGAAGAGTACATATACGTTTTGTGCGAGGCATGGGATGGCATGGAATTAAAGGGTTATGAACACGGTGACTTAGTGGTTATAGCTGCTAGGCGTAAACCAGGAGGCCTGGGTTCGAATCTCGGTCGGGGCAACCAATTCTTTGAAGAAATTTAATTGTTATGAACACAGTGAATTAACTAGAAAAACAACCAAGTGTACACACTCTGCCTCATCAAAGATATGTAAATGAGAGTTCATACTTAAGATTAAGCATTTGGTCTTGTAAAACTAACCTAGGAACTCACCCAGTGTTAAACTAAATAGTACCACACAATAGTATTTGCACACAACACTGATAGTTGCTTAATGCCCCGCCCAGGGTCGTTTTATAAATTTATTTTACCCTTGTTGCCATTTTGAGAGATTATTGTTGATATTTCTTCTTAATGTTTTCGGTACTTAAAATTTTAAACAATGCGGATAATACGGAAAAAAAATTTTAAACAATTTTATCAGTTTAAAAATTTGAACAGAAAAAGATAAGCCTATTTTTATTATGGAATTTTTATTGCAATTACATTGCAATTACGTCATCGTGGTAGTGTTAGTTGGTCACCGTTACAATTGTCGTACTGTTTCTCCCGAAAGTGCTTGTTGTGGTCGCGTGACGCAAACTGGTGCAGCGCGGAGCGACAAGCGTCCGTGCACCGGGGGAGCCGAAGATTTTGAAGATAATTTCGCCGTAAATTAGAAACACTGCATTTTTACCGTCCTTAGATACTATCGAGATAAAAAATGAATTGTTGCAATTTCCAAAAAAATCATTTTCAAATTTCAACGGAAACAAGTTCTGCGTCATTCTCTTAAGCGGCCCTTATGGTATTCGACAACTATCTTTAATCAAATCATTTGGACCCTCTTTTTGAAAAATTTGAAAATGCCCCATAGGATACAAATAAATTACCAAACAAAATTGAAATATCGATTGCAAATTCAAGGGGCCACGACAAAAGCAGGATCGATTGGGGAATATCATTACTGAAGGAAATCGGCTGAATGGTTTAGAACAAGGCTGTTCAACTGATTGCCCGCGTTCTGCATATGTCCCACAGTGCCGTTTAATGTGGTCCGCAAAATATTATTAACCAAACGTGAAAAACCTTTGCATCCATGTTGAACGAGAACATTTTAATAGAACTACCCAAAGGCACTTTGCATGGAGCAATCGTAGGGCCACGCGTCCACATTCATGTAAACGCATGGCTGCCCTCGACCTGGTGTCACCCAGACAGCCGAAAGCCTTTACAATTCGTATGTTGCCTAAGCTAGGAAGGAGAAAATCGTAAAATAGGTGATAATAGTTGAAGTCGATACTGAAAATTAGAGATGATGAATGAGTACATCACATATTGTAAGGTTTTCAATTTGTAGTGTTAAAAGTATAACAGAAATATCAGCAGTTGATGGAAATACGATACTCATTAAAATTCAACAATTAAACCTCTACTTGCAAACCTTTTTCTGTGGCCCTCTAATTGCTCATACTAGACGCTTAGCCTTAGATCCCAACTTGTGTGTTTATTTGAAGAAAAAATCCATACGTTACTGGTATTTCAGGGCGGTAATACACGAAAAGTGCTTTAAATTATAAGTGGTAGTAAATGACATAGACGTGGAACCCTTCCGACAGACTACTAGACGAAAGTTACCGAAGTAGTATTGATAACAAAAGAATTAACCAAGAGAGAGCAAGGTACATGAGGTATCGTTTTCCATCATTATACTTTTGATATAATTGTAAGAAAAGTTCAGAATATTTTTAAGTTTTTTGTTGTTTAATAATTATGAATTTTTATTTCAACTTTGAATTCATTTTTAATCGCCATGAAAACCTGGAAAATTGGACATCGTTCATTGATCGATCACTTGGGCGATCACACCACGTTGCAGAAGTAAACAGCAAAAACATTCCACTCACAACATGAACAATATCCCCCATGATTTTGGTGGAAGAACCCGGGAAAAACCCAGGCCATGCATAGACTACCGAAATTAATTGGATTGTTGGTGAAGTAGATACCTTTTTTATTTTGACAAATAAATAGAGATATTGTCAGG